TCAAAATGATTGATTTTCTCAAGTTAAAAAAGAAAATTGCATTTCCGTTTTAATTTTACTTTAGTTCGAATCGACCAGCAATCTTCGGGGGGATGAGTTCCGTGCAAATAATCCATGTCCTGCAGGGCTGATATCACTTATACTCATATTTTTAAGTTTACCTCAAAGAGTGATATGTTTTTCATTTTAAAGAATGGCTATGTTTTTGATATATCAATCAAAACCTTTCCTCGCAATCAGAGATGTACTTCGCTGAAAATCAGACAGTTTGTTCAAATTCCTGGCAAATACTCAAATTTGTCATCTTTGCTAATATGTTAAGCCACACGACGATATCGACGCTTTTGATACTAGGATTATATGTGATACATGTTATATATGAGCCAAGGAATGGCCGAACTCATCTCAAAGTCTGTGGCTCCGTGTTAGATCATCGGAGTCACGAAATCTGAAAGTTCAAGGGTTCGATCCTTCGAGGTGGACTCAGATTAATTCGTTGTCTCACACTCGCGACAAAGTGGTTGATATATTCTAAACCTCGCCTCAAATCCATTAAGTTTGAACTCTACGGCCAGTTGAAGGAGCCTAGTCAACAATTCGATATTGTAGCAGGAATGCTGCCATTTTTATTACCATTATCTTTTGTAGTTTTCTTCTTTTTTGCGGTTTATTGGGTGTATCATTGCAGGTGTATCCTAACAACGACCCAAATTGTTGCGTTTCGTTGTAAATATTGTCAGTTCTTTATTTTAATTTACTATTTCACTGATTCGTGACGATTATCGAAAGATTGTTTAAACTATTTCCCGTCTGGGCGTGATTGCCCAAGATCTTTTCAGGAGCTATTGAATTAGCTCGAATGCTGCCTGATAGCCCCCTTCTGTGGGTGCCTAGGCTGTTTCTACAACTACTAAGCGGATAACTCGAGTTACCAAATATATTAACTAACTTTGCAATCTTTATTTAAACTTTTTTCTTTAGTGAGAAATTATATTTACATAGAGAGGGATTTGTAAAAAAAAAACACTAGCATTCTGTCATTTGTATTTATTTGAGATACTCTGCTTTCCACGCCGGCAGC